GGACAGAGAGAGACAGAGCATGAACGGGGGAGGGGCAGAGAGAGAGGGAGACACAGAATCGGAAACAGGCTCCAGGCTCTGAGCCATCAGCCCAGAGCCCGACGCGGGGCTCGAACTCACGGACCGCGAGATCGTGACCTGGCTGAAGTCGGACGCTTAACCGACTGCGCCACCCAGGCGCCCCAATTCACCCTACTTTTGTATAGGTAATTATGCATATGAAATTTCCCAAAATTAAAAGTTAAAACAAGAAAAAAGAAGTCACATATAAAGTTCATTTATAACAAAATTTGCCTATCTTTGTTTATAACTCATATTTTAAGACCGGAAAATCTTTAAAATCTGTACACAGACAGATTACAGAAGGAGATATTACCGTAAGTTGCATGTTTCCATAAAAACAAAAGCCTAGGAGCTGTGAGGTTAAAGAGAATGGTGCAGGGGCGCCTGGGTGGCTCAGTCGGTTGAGTGTCCAACTTCGAATCTGATCATGATCTCACACTCATAGGTTGGAGCCCCGCGTCGTGCTCTGTGCTGACAGCTCAGAGCCTGGAGCCTTGCTTTGGATTCTGTGTCCCCCTCTCTCTCTGTCCCTCCCCCACTCACACTCTGTCTCTCTCTCTCTCCCAAAATACGTAAACATAATAATAATAAAAAAAATTTTTTAAAGAGAATGATGCAACAAAAGTTTTGTATAAAAATTAACAAGTAATAATTTCTCTTGATTTAAAGAAAAATTATTTGCGTAAAAAATATTCTAAATGAAGAAGACAAAAATAACACAAATGAAAAAAACAGAACAACGTTGATCATACAAAATGCTTGATAGTAAACAACTCTTCAATATTTACCACATTGTCATTTCAATATACATTTCACAACCTGCCATTCAATTAGAAACCAATGCACTAGAAGATAGAGTTTTTTTGTAATGTATTTATAAAAATATAGAAATTAAACTTACTATTTCTTTCTGTTCTCTTGGAAAAGAAGAAAATAAGTACTGTTCTTATGCTCCAGATGCTAAGAAGGAAGCAAAATTCAGAAAGAAAACCCATCATTAGGATAAGTAAATTAAAAGCCTTATAAAATGAAAAGAAATACACATTTCCAATTAGAGTTCAGTATATTGCTTCCCTTTCTATTTTGAAAATCAGAAAGTACTCCTTTCTTTCAGAGACCATCAAAGGTCTACCTCTGCTTTCAAAGAAGGAGTTCTCAATCTAAAATCCATGCACCTTCTGAGGATGCCCCAAAATTGTGAAATTACCTTTGTGTGCATAAGTGCATCCCTCTGGAGAGACCATTGTGTTCATCATTCTCAAAGAGGTTTATGAAGTCCCCAAAAGAAAACAAATTATAGATTTCTTCTTCTTAAGTAAGTATCAACCCCCAAAATTTGTCCATTCCCAGGTACTGAGGGAAAAGCACGTTTTACAACTCCAGCACACTGTACAAATGTAAGTTGTTACTCCTCCTCTATTATTTCACATAGGAAGGATCTTCTCTAGTAAACAGAATAAGCTATCTGAAAGAAAAAGAAAACTTACCTTCAAATAAATATTTGATAAGTAAACTTGGCTAGACACCTCCTTTCAAAGATTTTATGAGGAGAATTCTTTAGGACTTACATTAGAGTAAGACCTCAGATGATATTAAAAGGGAATCAAAGAATGATACTAATCACAAACTTGCTAAGATCATCTCTTAAATTCAATGTAAATATAGCAAAATACCTCTTTCTCCATAGAACATGGCAGAATAAGCATATAGACATTATTTACAATTTCATAAAAAAAAATACATTGTATCTGGATTTACGTGACCTCTTCACTCTGAAATAGATCATTGCTATTCCTGGGAGTTCGCCTACAAGGTAAGTCACCAGTGAACCCTGTCTCCTGGTAGCCACACCTTTATGTAGTCCTCTCTTACCGGTGTTGTTCTGTGTAACTATAATAGAATATGGTGGAAGTGACAGTATGTCACTTCAAGATTAGGTTATAAAGGACTGCAGCTTCCACGTTAGGCCTCCTCTTCCACTCCCCATCTTTCTCTCTCTTGGATTACTTGCTCTAAGAGAAGCCAGCTGGTATGATATGAGGAAATTCAGGGAACTCTACGGAAAGGCCCATGTGGCAAAAAATAGAGGTCTGTGGCAAATAGCCAGCAAAGAGATGAGGCCTGCCAACAACTACGTGTGTTGAGCTTAGAAGTAAATTTTCCAGCCTTAGTTAAGCCTTGAGGTAACTGCAGCTCCAGCCAACAGCTTAACTGCAATTTATACATGAATAAAGACCCCGAGCTAGAACCACCCAAGTAATCTGCTCCCACATCCCTACCCCTCAGGAACTGTGAGAGATAATAAACATTTGTAGTTTTAGGCTACTAAGTTCTAAGAAAATTTATCACTACAATAGATAACCAATACATGCTTTTTATATTGTGCTGGTTCATCTTTATGATACAGACAACTACGTAAGTACGAAAAAAGACATTATTGACAATGCTCGGCGTCTTTTTTTTCGTACTTGGGTAGTTGTCTATATCATAAAAATGAAGGGAGAGGAGAAGGGAAAGGAGAAGGGAAGGGAAGGGAAGGAAGAGGAGAAGTTAAACGTACTCTTTACAATCTTCAAGGATCCTACAACAGAAAACTCTCATACTATTTCTCCATTACAAACCCACTGAAACAGTGCCAGCAGAGAGATGATATAGGAAAAAAAAAAAAAGGATAGGAAAACAGAACACAGGACAAGGAATGGCAGAGATAGTGACAGAATTCTGTAAGAAATCAGTAAATTTTCTTAAATAGGTATTTTGAAAAAGCGTACATAATTTTCAAAGTGTAAAAACGGTGAGAATTGAAATGTATTTCTTTACCTCAAAATAAAATTCAGTAATCCCCCTTTGTGGACAATAGATTCTCCTTTTCGTTTTTATCAGAACTATTGCTGGAGAAAATGAACTATCAAACAATACATTTCCTTCAAGACTTGAAAAGGTAGAACACATAGTTTACCTTTAAAGCTAAATTAAATGAAATTCTTTTGTATTTTTAAAATGAAATTTAGGAAAAACAATAAGGTACTTCAAAAATCTATAAAACAATAAAGGTTTTTGCTCTCCTAATAATTAGATACAACTTATGAAAACAAAGCAACATATTTCGTGATGATACTAAAGATTACTACTGACTCCTACTTAGAGAATAGTGGCATAATTTCCCTTTCCCTCTTCCCTCCTTAGAAATACTCCAAACAACAAGGAGAATAAAAGACAAATTCTTGGGGCGCATGGGTGGCTCAGTCGGTTAAGTGTCCAGCTTTATCTCAGGTCATGATCTCGCGGTTTGTGGGTTCAAGCCCCATGTCCGGCTCTGTGCTGACAGCTCAGAGCCTGGAACGCATTTTGGATTCTGAGTCTCCCTCTCTCTCTGCCTCTCCCCTGCTCACTGTCTCTCTTTCCTTCAAAAATAAACAAACATTTAAAAAATTTTAAAGAAAACACACAAATTCTTGTTCTGGTAAAATTAAGATATAGATGGGGCGCCTGGGTGGCTCAGTCAGTTGGGCAGCCAACTTCAGCTCAGGTCATGATCTCACGGTCCATGAGTTCGAGTCCTGTGTCAGGCTCTGTGCTGACAGCTCAGAGCCTGGAGCCTGTTTCAGATTCTGTGTCTCCCTCTCTCTGGCCCTCCCCCATTCATGCTCTGTCTCTCTCTGTCTCAAAAATAAATAAACGTTAAAAAAAATTTTCTTTAAAAAAAAAAAATTAAGATATAGCTAAATCCAACTCCCAAAAGCCATGGAGATCATGAAGATTAAGAGTGCAAGCTGAGAAGGAAAACTGCTTATCTCACAAAGAGGGAGCAAGACAAACTTCTCAAAGTGGAAAAGCCTAAACCCCATGTTTATAACAAGAATAAGATAGAAGCGCCTGGGTGGCTCAGTTGGGATTCTCTCTCCCCCTCTCTCTCTGCCCCTCCCCACTTACACACTCTCTACAAAACAGAAAGAAAGAAAGAAAGAAAGAAAGAAAGAAAGAAAGAAAGAAAGAAAGAAAGAGAGTAAGAAATGCATGCTACATAGGCAGAAACTCTATATCTGGCTCCAGCAGTGAAACAGAGAAGGCAGAGAGCTTAAAGAGAAATCATTCAGAAATGCCCTGTTTACAGTTAAGCCTCTGATTCTTGATTTTGGCTCAGGTCATGACCTTGCAGTCTGTCAGTTCGAGCCCTGTGTTGGGCTCTGTGCTGACAGCTCAGAGCCTGGAGCCTGCTTCAGATTCTGTGTCTTCCTCTCTCTCTGTCCCTCCACTGCTCACACTGTGTCTCTCAAAAATGAATAAATGTTAAAAAAAAAAAAAATTAGAAGTGCCCTGTTTACAAAGAACTTTGTTTCTATGGCAGCAGGGTAGAAAAGAAGTTTTGTATTAGGAAAAAATATACAGTTGCCTAACCCTATTGGCTGGGAAAAATAAAAGCTGAGCAAATTCGCACATTAAATCCTGGATCGTAAGGAAAATTCTAGATAGCCTGGAATGTAGGAGGACATGCCCCCATACTCATACAACCTTCTACAAATAACTGGGCAAAAATAAACATACCACATAGTTAGAAATTTATTTTTAAGTTAAAAAAAAAACACAAAAGCAAAATACAAAGTTATGTTTCAAAACCTAGGCCAACATCTTTCCTCTTAATAAATGTAAATGAGCTAAACTCACCAGAGCAAAAGACTTTCAGACTGGAGCATAAAAACAAAACCCAACTCCATAACATAAACTAAAATCTAAAATTAAGAGTTTTTGAAAGCTGAAGATAATAAAACAAAGAGCAAAAGTATACTAGGCAAATACAAACAATACAAGAGTTGTATCTTAATACCCCACAAGGTTGAATTCAAGACCCCCCCCAAAAAGGCTTAAACTAGAAAAAGATCATTTCATAGTGTTAAATATGATGCAATTCCTTTCCAACAAAAAGGGGCTAGAGCAACTGAGTACCCATGTGCAAAATGAAAGAAAGAAGAAAAGAATCTCAACATGAACCTCACACCTCATATAAAAATTAACTCAAAATGACTTATGAACTTAAATGTGAAATGTTAGAAGAAAAAAAACATAGAAAAAAAATAAATAAGAAAATCTTCAGAATCTATAGCCAGGGAAGGGTTCTTGATAACAAAAGCACAACCCATAAAAAGAAAAATTAATAAATTTTACTCTGCAAAAACCCTATTAAGAGAACAAAAAGACAAACTACAGACTGGGAAAAAATATTTGCAAACCATATGTCCAACAAATAACTTATATCTACAACATATAAAGAATTCTCGGGGTGCCTGGGTGGCTCAGTCAGTTAGGCGTCGGACTTCAACTCAGGTCAAGATCTCGCGGTTCATGAGCCCGGTTCGAGCCCCGCATCCAGCTCTGTGCTGACAGCTCAGAGCCTAGGGCCTGCTTTGGCTCCTGTGTCTCCTTTTCTTTCTATGCCCCTCCCCCATGCACGTGCTTGCTTGCGCGCGCGCTCTCTCTCTCTCTCTGTTCCTCAAAAATGAATAAACATTAAAAAAAAATTAAAGAATTCTCAGAACTCAACAGCAAAAAGACTAATAATCCAATCAGAAAAATAGAAGACATGAACAAATATTTCACAGAAAAGGAGATATAAATGGCAAGTAAACACATGAAAAGAAGTTTGACATCATTAGCCATTGGTGAAATGTGAATTAAAACCACAATGAAATATCACTACATACCCATCAGAATGATCAGAATAGAAAATAGTGAAATATGAAATGCTGGCAAAGATGCAGAGAAACTAGATCATTTTTTAATATAATTTATTGTCCAATTGGCTTACATACAACACCTAGTGCTCATCCCAACAAGTTCCCTCCTCAATGCCTATCACCCAAAACTAGATCATTTATATGTAACCAGTGGAAATGTAAAATGGTACATCTCCTCTGAAAAAACATTTATCAGTTTCTTATAAAACTAAACATGTATTTACCATA